CACACACGACACACTACACAACATTCACACGGCTTGGCTGTCTGTGTGCAGCTTGGGCAGCCGACGGCCGATGAGGTGCAGCAGATGGGCTCGCCTGAGAACGGACAGAAGGTGAGCAGTGCTGCCGGGGAGAGGAGAGAGGGAGACGACCGCCCCATCCATCCACTGGTTGCTGTGTGTGTTTGTGTTGTGTGCAGGTGTTGGTGTGTATGATGAGCGCCGCCCGCAATGGCGACCTGCTGCAGTCCCTCGCCTCCCGCCAGATCACATGCATCGCTGTCGACGAAGTGCCGCGCACCACTGCCGCCCAGTCGATGGACGTCCGCTCGGCTTTGTCGTCGCTCGCCGGCTACCGGGCCGTGCTCGAGGGCTTCAGTGCGCTCGGGGCGCTGAGCGGCACGTCGACCTTCGCTGCGGGCCGTGTGGACATGGCCAAGGTGCTCGTCATCGGCACGGGCGTGGCGGGACTCCAGGCCATCTCTACAGCAAAACGTACACACACGCATCAAACATCAATGGCACGCCGTTCCTCATTCCTCTCTGTACGTGTGTGTGTGTGTGTCATTCGTTAAAAAGTGTTGCAGGCTGACGTGTATGCGACTGACATCCGCCCCGACACCAAGGAGCAGGTCGAGTCGGTCGGCGGCAAGTTCATCGACCCAGCTGCCCTCGCCCCCACACCGGCAGCCGCCGCAGCGGGAGTGGAGGCACCGACTGGCTACGCAACTGAGACCCCAGAGGAGCTGGCGCGGGCGCAGAAGGCGATGCTCGAGCGTGTGCTGCCGTCGATGGATCTGGTCATCTGCTCGGCCGCCAGGAAGGACAGCGCCCCACTCATTCTCGACGCAGCACTGGTCAGTCAGCCCCATGCTTATGACAACAAGCGAAGATCGAGGAGGGGGAGGCAAGTGATGTGATGTGTGCACGTGTGTGTGTCCTTGCTTGCCTTGCATCAGGTGCGTGTGATGGGTCGCGGCAAGTGCATCGTCGACCTGACCACGAACTTCCCCCGCAGCAACTGTGAACTCGCCAGAAACGGTTAGTCGGTCACACTCACACCGCCCAGCCGACCAAGAGAGGCCAACCAGCCACCAAGGGCGATGTCTGTGTGTCTGTCTGTGTCTGTGTGTGTGTGCAGATGAGTTGGTGGTTGACGGTGCATCTGGTGTCAAGATTGTGGGCCTCAGCTCGCCGTCCGACCGCATGCCCGGCCAGGCCTCCCTCCTGTACTCGTCATGCGTCGCCAACCTCCTCAAGGCAAGCAGCCAGCGCAGCGCAGCCACCCGACACGACAAACACACACAGACAGACAGACAGACATGAGCGTGTGTGTGTCGATATATCGATCGGTCAGAGTGCGGGTGGCGCTGAGGGCTTCAGTGTGCAGGCGGATGCCGACGTCCGTGCCATGCTTGTCACGCATGAGGGGGCCGTCGTGTACACGGCCGAGCAGCCGCCCTCTCCCACAGCCATCTACGAGGGCGTCGAGGTAGCCGTCGAGGTGCCCGCCGAGCCGGCCCCCGAGCACCCCACCGCCACAAGTGAGTGAGCAAACGCATCCAAACCACACAGACAGACACACAGACAGCGATGGATGACATATAATTAATGGTGTGGTGTGGCTGCGATCAGCGATTGAGAGTGTGTTGAAGCGTTTGCTGGCCAACGAAATTGTCTTCGCGGTATGTATGTCACATGGATGGATGGATGGATGGATGGATGCGTGTGTGTGTGGGCTGCTGTATGTGTGTGTGTGTGTGATGGGTGTGCAGTTGTTGGTGTCGGTGGGTGCGGTGTTGTTCTTTCTGCTGGGTTTCGTCATGGACGTGTTGGAGCTGTGCCACATGCTCTCCTTCACACTCGCAATCATCGTCGGATTCTTCTGTGTCTGGAGGTACATAAGCCACAGAAGCAGGGAGGCAGGGAGGGAGGGAGGCAGGGACACACACATCCATTCACTTCACTCACTCGTGTGTATCTGTGTGTGTGTGTGTGTGTGGATCATCAACCAATCCATCAGCGTGACGCCGGCTCTGCACACGCCACTGATGAGTGTGACCAACGCCATCAGCGGCATCGTCATCGTCGGCAGCATGATACAACTGGACCGAGTAAGTCATTAAGCTGCCAGACACACACATGCGATGCGATCGATGTGTTTGTGCGCCTGTGGATGGATGGATGAATGTGTGTGTGCAGTGTGTGGCATGTCCGTCGTCCGTGTGCGGCGAGCTGGGCATCCTGCTGGCCAGCTTCAACATCGGCGGCGGCTTCACCATCACCACACGCATGCTGCAAATGTTCAGAGCCAAGTGAAGTCAACGACCGACCCACAAACCCAACCATCGACACATACATTCGCACATGGATGGATGGATGGATGGATGGATGGACAACTGAGTGAGGAGTGAGTGGACGACAGAGACAGACAGACAGACGGAGAGACGACACGCTGACTGACTGACTGATCATGAACGAGTGAATGAATGACAAATCGACAGACACGTTAATTGCCATCGCTGTGTGTATCTGGGCTGAATCGCTGCCCCGCATTCATCCATCCGCAACAACAAGCATATAGACGGTGACCGATCTAGCTACTCGTGTGCCCCGCCACTCAACAGGCACTCCGCCGCTCTCTCGTCATCTCAGTACGTGCAAAATCAAGCCCACGACCCATGGGCCGCCAAACTCTCACAGCGTCTCATAGACAAGACACACCTGCTTATCAGATCAGACTGCTTTTCGTCCAAGAAAGGCCAAAATCTCATCATCAGCCAGGATGCGTCGCCCAGGATGAGAGCCCCAGTGCAGTGTGCAGTCAGAATGTTCCGGAAACTGCAGCATGTCACGCCTCAAAAGCCTCAGAACACTCCGTTGAGACGCAAGAGCCCCCAGGATTGCCAGTTCACATCGGCAAGACCTCTGGAGGGGGTTGGCAATGCGCCTCCCCTCTCAGAGGTCCGACCCTTCCTCCTTCCTCCTAGGGCCTCGCCCCGCGGGTTGGTTCTTATACCGGACGTCTCCGCGAACCGAACCCGCGCCCTTTATAAAGGGACAGGGAAGCACCGGGTCCCCCGACTGGGCTGTGCTTGGACTGACCAAAGAGGAGGCCACTTCGGCTACACTCCGCCACTCGGCATCTTCCATCTTTCAAATGGCCACCTTTCGCAGCCAAAAGCTCACAGACCCCTCACAAGACCCATACCATTAGGTTGGGGGCTCCAATTTCGCGAAAAAAAGCTAAAATCTCGCTGGGGCCGCTGGAGACGGGCCCCATTGCAGAGGACACTTCCCGATAGTAGTGTGTGCTGACAGACGCCTTATCAGCATGCCCATGATGCAACCGACTGCTTCCTGATGCTTCTTGATCAAAAACGAGCCGAACAGAGACGGTTTTGAACCACACAGTGGTGTCACGGATGTGAGCCCCATTGCATTGTGCGCACGCAGCGCACCTTTGCAGCGCACCAGAGAGCTTGTGAGAAACACAGACGGTTAGGCAATGCACATCCGTGTCGAGAGAGAGGGCCGACTACCGTCGACCATGTACGAATCTTTTTTATTCATTCATTCATCGCTGCCTGTCTGTCTGTCTGTCTGTCTGTGTGTCTGTCTGCTATCTCTCTGCAGACGGGGGAGACATACATACGTATCCATGTGAGTTAGCATGAGGCGAGTGAAAGAGTGAGTATGCATCGAGTATGCAGGCACCTACATACATGAGTTTCATTCGAGTGATTTGAGACGACAAAGTTTCATTCGTCATGTTGACTCATACGGCGCTCATTCGACATGGGCGTGGAATACATTCGTCTCTCGGTTGTGTGTTGACTCAGCCACTCATTGCTCTGCCGACTTCTCCGTGTACACGCCTGCCTTCCTCGTCTGCCCACCATCGACGACAGATGCTGATGCGCCTGCTGTCACCGTGGGGACGCCAGGCGACACGGCCGACTGCACATAACACACACAAATCACCTATACAGACTGTGGTTGTGCGTGTGGCTGCCCGTCGTGCCTGTGTCATGACCGGCGAGCGTGTCTCATCCCACTCGACGCGCGTCTTTTGCTGGGCAAATCGTGAGCCAGCGCCAACCTGACGCAAGCAGCAGCAACACACACACAAAACATCGACCGAGAGACACACACAGAGCATCGATGCATCATCCATACCTTAAGTGGGTCTCCGATGCGCGAAACCGCGTTTAAGGGGAGCGCTGATGAAAGCACAGCGCTCTTCTTCTCACCCACAGGCGGCGGTGGTGTCTCTTCCTCGATGTGAGTCTGCTCGATGCTGTGTGCCTTGGCCGACGACTCCTCGATGGGTGCTGCTGCCGGCTGTGGCGGCGCCGCCGCCGCTGCCTCTTGTGTCTCTGCGGCATGTCTCTTGGCTGCTGCGATGTGCTTGCCCCACTCAGCTGTTGCGGCCATGTTCCTGACTGTGCGCTCCACCTTGCCTAACCGCCGCTCACGCTCCACACTCGACTCCTCCATGTCCAGCATCTCTACACACAAAGACATCCATAGATCATGTCATGTGTGTTCGACACTGTGTGCACACGTGCCTTGTATCTGGTCGGCAGCTGATCGCATCGCGGTGAGTTTCGCCTGGTCGGTGAGTTTGTTGGTGTCCTCGTCTTCGGTGACCATGATGCCCATCATCGGCGGCCGCATTAGCTGTGTCACATACTGACCCCGGTGGAGCATAGCGGGGTCCAGCCGGCTGCGAGACTGAACGAAGCGGGGCAGGCCAGCCGCTGCTGTCCTCCTGCTCCTCACACCCTGACACACACCCATGCACACATACGTAGAGAGAGAGAGTGTCAATCGACGCCTCCGTGTTTTCAGTTTTGTGTGCTTCTCGCTCACATTGACTTCTCTCATGTCGTTTTGGAGACGTGTGTATGTTCGCTGAAATGCCTGCCACGTGTCCTTGAGCTCTGCCAGCTGCTTTTGGAGTGATTCATTGTCGGTCTGAGCGTCAGCAGTGGCCTCTGCTCCCTCGGTCGGCGGCAGCGAGTGACACACCACCAGCTGGCATGTCGCAAAGACAACAGTCAACAGGTGCGACATTGGTGTGGTTGAGTGTTTGCTTGCTCTCAGAGTGAGCCAGAGGGCGTGTACACTATGTGTCAATGTGTGTACACTATACACGTCAACACGTCAACAATACATGTATGTATGAATAATGAATGCATAATTAACGGAAAACGGCCGTCATTCAACAATCCTTCAACAAGCCTTCATTCACTCGATCCTGTCACGCGGCGTCGTCCATCGACATGGCCTGCCTGCACACAGATACGCACACAGATACCCACACGAGATGCCTCGTTCACGTGTGAGCTGTAGTGGGCGGTTTCGCCTTACTTAAGGACGTCGCCACACACGTTCACACCCACCCTGAGTCGTCCAACAGAGAAAGGAACCTCAGGCTGTGTTGTGGTCGTTTGCCTTTTCCGCTCACTCACCCTCCTTGTTGGCACTTGGCCAACACCTTCTTGATCTTGATGTACTTGTCCCGCCTCGGCGAGTCATCAGACGCAGACGGGAGCAGGGTGAAAGGGGCGACTTCAGCTGGCTCAGCTATGAGCTGATTCGCCAGCCGCATGTACGTGTTGATGTCTTGTCTTCCCGACTCCCCTGCACAACGAATGCATCGAGACAAAGCGAGAGATGACATCCGTGTCGCGTGCACGCTCAGGATTCGGGTCCCTTTCCTTCCTTCTCTGTCTGTCTGTTGTCGGCCCACGTACATGCGTCCTGTGCTTCTTTCTTGAGCTCCTTCGTGACATCCCCTCCTACCCCCTTGGCGACACTCTGCAGCCTCCTCATCGAACTCTCAAACCTCTCCGTGACCTGCTCTAGGTCGGAACCGCCCTCATCCTCTGGTACGGACTTAGCCAACAACCGCATGGGCGAGAAGAAGTCCCTGTCCATCCGCGACACGGACACAAACCTCGCCGACCCAGAAACTTTGAACTGATCCAGAACGTCGTCCCAATTGCTCGTGCGGATGTCCTCGGCCAAATCGAACAGATAGAAATCACCACTCAGCTGAAGCTGCGGGGCATACTGCCTGAAGCTCTTGATGGATGACGGCAGGGGAGGCTCCACGGCTACTGCATCGTCGAGCAAGAGAGCGTTGCTGACTGCCAGTGCTGCAGCTGGGAAGAATGCAAGAGCATCACGACGAGATGCCGCCTCAAGCTGCCCGCTCTCCGCTGACAGGGATGAGCGCCTTGGACTTCTCAAGACGGGCGGCACGAATGCACTCCGATAAGTCGCCCAGGCAGCAGCAGATCGGATGGCGTAGGGGCCATAGCATAACTCACCAAGATAGATCGTATGAATAACAGCGACAAGGATGATGATCCTCATCGAATTCCCGATTTGCTGCCCCGCGCGCGGTCTTCCTCAGAACTCCCTCGGTCGTAGCTCGCATTTTTTTAGGACATTTCGTGAAACCGCTCTCTCCTGGATCCAACACACGAGAAGGTGGTCGCAAGTCGGCAGCGGCCTCCTGCGGTGTTCGACAATCGAAACCATCGATTTCATCCATGACATGAGTCACTCATGAGTGTGAAGATCATCTGTTAGGAGCGTAGAGGGGAGATGGGCAACAACCACACTGCGGACCGCCATGGTGCCCTTATCGACGAACACACGCTGGATTTCCTTCACAAAGACGACAGAGATGCCCTCCACACGTATGCAAACCACACAGAAATGACATGAGGGAGGGGGAGCGGCAGTGAACAGCTGTGTGTGTCTGTGTGCGTTGGCTATCTGTGTGTGTGTGCAGCCGGTCGGAGGTCGGCAGCCTCAGAGCCACGGCGCACTTCCTCTGGGAAGTCGACTTCTCGGCCGCCGTCCTGAGCAGCCGACTCAATCGCTGCCTGGCGGCCAAGGGACTGCACGCCATCATCGCCTTCGACGCTCAGCTGGACCGCCCTCTGCTGCTGAAGGCCATCTGGCTGGTGGAAACGCAGCAGTGGACCGAGGTGACCAATGCGCTGAAGTTGGCGGCGCGGAGGGGCTTCTGCCAGCTGCCCATCACACTCGATGTGGCCGATCTGCAGCGTCACGATAGCAAACAGGTGGGCAGATGAGCGTCAGGCGGGTGGGGGGGTTGGGCACTCATCGGTCTGTCGGTCTGTCTGTCTGTCTGTCTGTCTGTCTGTGTAGGCGTATTTGGCGGATGTGCGTGTGGTTGGCTTGTGGAAGATGGTCGGCAGACACGTCAACTTCGGCGGCAGCTACGGCCGTTTTGAGCTGTTCGACCAGCCGGGCGGCGGTGTGCGTGCCCTCCGCGACGAGCCGGGCTTTGAGCTGGACATCAACCCCCCCCTCCCCCCCGCCCACCCATACCATCCACACGCCATCAACGACAACCCGCCCGTCAGATCCTCAATCCATCGGCAGGGGGACAGCTGGATGGCTGGTGGTGCGGCGTTCACTCATGCCTCAGTCTCGGCGTTCATCATGAATACCATCATGTTCCCTCCAGTGGCCAATAGGGGCAGGACGCCTTGCATTGCCGTGAACCGGTACGCAGGAAACACCACAATCAGACAGACACACAACGACCCATGACGGCCGCTTCCCTCTGTTTTCTTCAGGCATGCTCACGGCGGTGTGCTGGACGGCCTCCTGAACCACTCGCCCCACCAGCCGCCCAACCGATGCACCGCCGTCATGGCGAGTAGGTTGGACAGTAGGAATCCCCCTGTAGAGTTTCGGCGGCTGTTTCTCACGCCGTTCAACGGCCCATTCGTCGCATGTATCGATCTGTGTATCTTCCCCGACACGGACATAAGTGAGGGAACAAGATAGCAGATTATCTGTGTTAATTGAGCCATTCTTGTGTGTTGTTCTGCTGAATGCAGTGACTCTTTGTGTCGTCACCAACGAGCCGCCAGTGGGTGATCCATCGGCTGCCTTCAAGGACCGCCGGCGCGCCACCGCCCCTCTGCTGCCTGGCCTGGTGGGGCAGCCCATCGCAGACATGGTGGTCAACCAACAGGAAGCCGCTGAAGGTGAGTGTGCAGCCGGCCGCCTCCATCTCGGTGTGTCGGTTGGATGAATCGGCGTGTGTGTGGTGGTGTGCAGAGGAGGGTGCGGATGACGACGATGGCGATGGTGGTGAGGGTAGGTGGTGTGTGTGTGGTGTCCAGCCCGCCTTGCTAGGTGTCTTACTCCTATGTATGTGTGTGTGTGCAGAGGATGACGATGACAGTGCGGATGACGGCGACAGCGATGAGGGTGAGTGGGAGGAGGATGAGTGTGCAGATGTAGATGGCGACATCGAGGGCGAGGGCGATGGCCAGCAGCAGCAGCAGCAGCAGCAGGGCAAGACATCCTTCAAATCGAGAGAGTGTCTGGACGCAGCCATGACACAGGGGATGAGGGTGAGATCAGCGTGACATACACGCACTCATTGTGCGTCATGGCTGTTGTCGGTGATGTATGCAGGTTGATGGATGGATGGAGTGTGGACAGCAGGCCGGGCGTAGCTACGTGTGCACACAGCCAGCTCAATTGCCTCTCATGACATGATGCAGACAAAATCCATGCAGCTTTGCAGCAGACGTTCATGTAATTAATGCATTGATTGATCTATGGTCGTCAGTCACTGAGAACCCTTTTTCTGTACACGTATGGCATGCATGCGTTCTTGACGGTGAAGCTAAGCTGCTTTCCGTTTGTTCTTCCCACCACATCTAAAGAGGGATTGGAGAAACGATCGCCGCTTTTTCGAGCTTGCATTGCGAGCTAAGCGCGAAACCCCGCGTCTTTTTCCCGGACCGGTGGTGTGTGTTGCCCTCGTCCCCTGCGAGTTTTGCAAGCACATTCCCAACAGCTGGTGCAATGGCGTACCATCGAATGCAGGACGTCGCTTGTTTCTGCGGGGGCGTGCCCCGACTGGGATTCCCGGACGCAGCCTCCGAAGCGGTGCTCGATGAAGCAGAGATCATGGTGGGGGGCGGCCTCGTCTTCAACGCGGCAGGGGTGTCAGCCCAGCATTCACTCAAAGCCAGGAGGGGAGAGAGCAACGCGGATGCTTTTCTCTGCAATCATACTCTGCTAGGTGTGGCAGATGGTGTGTCGTCTGTTGCGGAGGACGGTAAGCTGCTCGAGGGAAGAATCCGTCCTCCGCAACGTCAGGCAGGGATATCCAGGGATTGAAATGGCATTGCGTTTCTGTTGTGCTGCAGGAGTCAACCCATCCCATTTGCCGAACGAGCTGTTGGCTCGCTGTGAGGAGCTGTGGGAGACACGTCAAAAGGATTCAGACGCCTTTGACAGTGAAACGCACGCCACAGTGCGTGCCCTCAAAGGAGACATAGAGACGTCTGCCAGCGATGTGGTCGAGAAGGGGCTCCTCGGCCGGTCTTTCGTCGGCTGTAAGCATCTCGGGGCGACCACGTGTGTCCTGACCTTTATCTTTGGAGAGCAGCTGCGGATCATCAACATCGGCGACTCGATGGTTCTGCACCTGCGCCGGAGCGAGCTGAGGCGGTCCTCAGGAGAGGGCAAGAAGAGGACGCTTACGAGCCAGACCGAGGACGAGACGCTTCCATCGACCGGCATCAGCAGCAGCCGCTTGGACACCACCGCCTCCCCTTATTTCGTGCTCACATCGTCCACGCCGCAGCACCACTTCTTCAACTGCCCCTATCAGCTGACCCGCATGTATGATGTCCTCATGGACGACGAGTCCCTCTTTCGGAGCGTGCTGAGTTCGGCGGACTGCTTCACGTCTCCTGCACGCCCCGGAGACATCGTCATTCTGGGCAGTGATGGACTTTTCGACAACGTAAAGGATGGACCAGCAAATCACTTCATGGGATTGATATCATGGTTGTACAACGTTCGTTTCCTTCAGTTGTTTTTGAGTGACATTCTGGATCTTGTCTCGCGACACTGCCACGACAGGTCGTCGCATGGCATCCCCAGATGCCCACCGAAGGTCATCGCTACAGCCCTTCTCCACGTGAGAAAAAACCGCCCATGTAGCGCCACTCCACGCGCTTCGATATTTCATGTCTCTGGCTTTACTTCACAGGCTGCTCTCGATGCGGCTGGGCCCGCTCCCTGCAATGGCACCGGGTCGAGGCCGGCCCGGGCGGACACCTTTACCCGTGACTGGTCCCTCCTCTGCGGCAATATGAAGCCCCGCAGCCCTGGGTACCCCCAGCTCCCTCCCACCAAGGGGGTGACCCGGCCCTACGCCACCCCCTTCTCAAAGGCAGCCAAAGAGGAGCTCGGCAAGCAGATCAACGGCGGCAAGCCCGACGACACGTCAGTGGTCGTGGGCTTCATCGTCCGGGGCAATAATGAGAGATCGCTCGGCTTCAGTGTGCCGGGGATAGCGGACGAGAAGGCAATCGAGCTACTGCATGACGGCAAGAGGCAACCGGCTGCCGCTCAGGGAGCAACGGTTACGGCTGCGGGCTCCGGCCGTCGGGGTGGGGCTTTGGCTGCTCATCAGTCTGTCTTGGTTGGCGTCGACCCCGCCCTGGCGGACATGAAAAGCTGTGCACTCCGTGACGCCGCCGCAGATGAAGGGCCCTTCCGCAAGTCGGCCGCCTCCTGCAGAGAGGGAGACATCGGCATTCCTTCTTCCCCGCTTTCCGCTGTGACGCCTCGCAAGGCGTCGGCTGCCAAAGGCTCCAGCGCCAGCAGCAGGGGCCCCGGAGCGATAGAGAGCAATCGGAGACAAAACTCACTCAACGTGAGGGTCCCTCCCCTGCCAATCAAGACAGCGAAGCCGGCCCTCCCGCCGATGGGGCCCCTGGCCAAATCAAGGACCCAGCACAAGGGGAGAAGAGGGGGAGACACCAGGGGAGGGCCTTTCAGGCCGAAGAAACCAGCCAACCTTTCCAACCATCCGACACACAGCGCGGCTCCTCCATTCATGTGCCCCCTTACCGATGGCCCTGCCGACCCGGCACCACCCAGCACTGACTCTACCATCCCTGTCATGCAGGACCTCTTTCTCGTCACTCCGCGATCGCCAGCGCGAGACAAACAGCCGCCGGCTGTGGCAGCGGCCGCTCGGTGCATGTTGCCGAGCAGCAGTAGCAGCAGCTCGAGCAGCTCGAGCGGCGGGAGAGAGAGAGGTGCAAGAGTGGACAGGGATCCGTGTTTGGTGTTGAGCGAGAGCGACCTGAAGGACATATACAGTTCGGTGAGAGAGGAACTGGACAAGTGAATGAGTGAGTGGGCAGGAATTCAGAGAGAAAGTGTTGCTGTATGTACGATATATAGCTGCCTCTGCCGATACCCACTACCTTGGCAAAGAAGCGTGTCACGATGGACGGACGCATCCAACGATGTATTGAATCAATGATGCACTCATCATTTGCTTTGACAACACGTCACATATCGGCCGATCGATGTCGTTCGATCAATGTCCATGCTCATGTCGGCACGGGATAAGGAAGCAGCGTATGCAGGTGCACAGGAACGTTGGGAAAACGGACCTATCTGCAGATTGGTCACTCACGTCACGAACTCTGCAGACTGACTCCATACTTACTATACAACAACCCCACAACCGACCGCTGCGCTCTGCACCAGTCGTCGCAACAACTGCTCCACACCAACTATATATACGATGCAGTCCGTCCTCGCGTCTTGGTCCCACGAGCCGAGACCAAAACAAAGAGGACTCAGTGCTTGCCTTGCATCAGTGCTTGCATCCGCAGCCCTTCTTCGCAGCAATGGTCTCTCGCCACTCGGCATTCTCCCGCCACTCTGACCCGTCGGCATAGATCTCTCTCTTCCAGATCGGTGCGCGGGCCTGATGCACACACACAGACAGACATGCAGGCAGGCACAAATGGTTGATGTCGGCTGGCTGATGGTTCTGTCGCCTACCTTGATCTCGTCGATGACGTATCGGCAGCAGTCCATCGCGTCGGCACGGTGCGCAGATGACACGGCAATGTTCACACCTGCACACATACACAGACGGCATCTTCATCCTGTTGTGTGCGTTGTGTTGTGTGTGACCCTCTCTCCGCTCACCCACCTGACTGGCCGATAGGGCACGAGCCGAGCTTGTGCTCCACGGCAATTCGACGCACCTGCGGCCACTTGGCCTGCGCCTCCGCACACACCTCTGCAATGGTCTTCTCGGCCATCGGCGCATAAGCCTCGTAATCCAGCGCCGTCACCTCCTTGCCGCCAGAGTGGTTGCGCGTGGTGCCCATGAAGGACGCCACAGCGCCGCACGAACCATCCTCCACCTGCTGGATGACACTCTCGAGGTGGAGCGGATCTTCCCGCAGACAGATGTGGGGAGGCAGTTGTGCACCAGTGCCGTTGGTGACGCTCTCTGCAGCCGACATCGAAAGAAGTTTGGCGCTCGCCAGGCGTCGGCGAAGGGTTTGACTGAAACCCTTTCACCCCTCAAACCCTTCACCCCCAAATCCTGTAGGTTTCTTTGGAAGGAATTAGAGAGCGATGGATGGCGCTGTCACGGCTGCGGAGGTGCAGAGGAAGGCAACGGAGGCGAGAAGGAAGGCGTATTACAAGCTCAAACAGAGAGCCCAGCAGGATGTCCATCGCAGGTCAGTCCAGATGCAGGCTGAAGGACTGACTCATCACCAAGGCAGCATGTCACGCACACACGCCGCCAACCGGCAGGAACAGACAGACGCACGACGCGCCATCTGTGTGTGGTTTGTTTCTGTGGTTAATTGCAGAGTGGCTCGGTGGCGCACCGTGACGAGGGACGGTAGCCGCTCTATCTTCTACGTCACCCTCGGAGGAGATCTGCACATCAACAAGGTGCTCACAGACAAACAAGAGAGAGAGAGAGAGAGAGAGAGAAAGAAGAGAGAGAGGGGACCCAGATGAGAGAGGGGACCCAGATCAATGCACTCACTCACTCACTCACTGCACGTGGGTGAGTTGGGTTCAGCGTGACGGCAATGATGCGGCCAGAGAGGACTCCTTCTACCTGCGACAATACGGCATCAAAGGTGTGGCCAGCGCAACAAGTGCATTGCACCATTCATTGCCCCCCACCCGTCAGACGATGGACGGTGTTTGTTTCTGTGACGTTTGTCAGACCGTCAGGAGGGTTCGTGTCTGCCCTACCCGGAGTGGTTTGAGCCCTACTGCAGCAACCGCAGCGACAACCCTCGCGACCTATCGCACTGGAACATCCCCGAAGGGCTCGTCGAGTAGGCACCCCACCCGGCTGGCCAGCTGGCCATCTCTGCTGTCAACCATTCCCTCGTGTGTGTCTGTCAGGGAGTACCGTCGTCATTCGAAGATCGAGCAGCTGTACGAGTGGCAGGCCGAGTGTCTGCAGGTGATCTGGCCGGCGACCCCTGGCCCGTGCCCACCGCCAGGGCAGGTGCACATGGTGCAGGGCGAGAAGCGCACCAGGATGAAGGTGGTGGGGAGCCCCACCATGGCCGACCCGCCCGTGTGGCGGAACCTTGTCTACTGCGCACCCACGGCCGGGGGCAAGTCGCTTGTCGCCGAGATCATCATGCTCAAGTCAGTCACTGCAGAGCCCCACCCCACCGATGGATGATGAAGTCGATCTGTCTGTGTGTGTGTTTTGTCCGTCGTGTGGCGCAGTCAGCTGGTGTTTCAGGGGCGTCGTTGTCTGATGGTGCTGCCCTACGTCGCCCTCTGTCGTGAGAAGGCGCGGGACCTGCACAGCCTGTGGGGCGACCGGCTCGGTCTGAGGGTGCAGGCCTTCCACGGCGGAGAGGGTAGACAAATGACTGACTGACACACAAGCAAGGACAGCAGCAAATGCAGCCAGGTGAATGAATAGATTGATGTTGTATGGTTGGTATGTTCAGGTGGTGGGTGGAACGAGGGCATTGATGCGGCGATATGCACGATAGAGAAGGCCAACCAGATCGTCACCAGCCTCATCCGACACAGACGGCTGGAGCGCGCCATCGGGGTGCTCGTCGTCGACGAACTCCACTCGCTGTCAGACAGCCACAGGTGGGTGGGTGGGTACGCAGGCAGCACCAGACATTCATGCATGCCGTCGTTACTCACATGACATGCTTCTCTTTGTTTGTGTCAGGGGCTACCTACTTGAGGTGATGCTGATGAAGGTGCAGGGGTACCTCGGCTCTCTCCCGCCCGACTCGCCTCCCCACCTCCGTACCCAGGTCATCGGACTCTCGGCCACACTGCCAAATCTAGACCAGGTTGGTGCGGCAGTCGCGACGCCTGGATGCACTCCCTCCCTCTCCACTTCTCTCCACTTGTCTCTCTTTCATCTTCACCACTCGCTAGCTGTGCTCTGGTCATGCGCCTCCGTGTGTGTGTGCAGATCTGCTCGTGGCTTGATGCCGAGCAGTATTCGAGCGACAGGCGACCGACGCCCGTCGACACCTTCCTCAAGATCGAAGAACGGGTCACACACACACACACACACACATACATACGCAGATGGACCACTCACTCATCTGATACACCACACCACACCCACTCATGGCTCTTGTCCCGTCTCTCTCGTCTCGTGTGCTGCTTTGCAGATCTACCAGTATAACCCCTCAGCTGCAGCGCAGATCGGCAATAGCAACCTTCAGCCCCCGCCCAACCCACCCGCTCCCAAGCCACAGCGACCCACGACCGTCACCCTGAATCCAGCCTTCCGACTCTTCCGCACATTCTCCCGGCCGCCACCCTCCCTGCCCCTCCCCGTCCCCCCGCCGCCACGTCAGCCCAACCGGCCACGGGGTCCTCCGCCGCCCGAGATGTTCTGTGGTTTGGCTGACGATAAGGAGCATGTGGGTCTGCTGGTGTGGGAGAGCGTGAGGGTCAAGAGGCCGGTGCTGCTTTTCTGTCATTCCAAGGACATGTGCCAGCGGATGGCGCAGCAGCTCGCAAGGTATATATGGGGGAGGGAGGCGGAAAGGACAGGTGTCGAATGTACCTGCCTGCCTGCTAACACTGTGTCCCCGCCTGTCTCTCTCTCTCTCCCTCTCTCTCTCTCTATTGTCAGGACACTGCCCCTGTACAAGTCTCGCGACATGTCCGTCCTCGCCCCGGCCGAGGATGCAGACATCGCCAATGCGCGTCACAGCCTCCTCCAATCGCTGCGTCGGGCAGCATCGGGGGTCTCGGCACGCACACAAACCCCCACAGCAGCAGGGGCAGCCGATGAGGCGGCCTACTGTCCCGATATGAAGGCGGCGATCCCTCATGGCGTGGCATACCACCACGCAGGCCTGACGATCGACGAGCGGCGGCTGATCGAGGAGGCCTATCGGGCGGAGGTGCTCAGTGTGCTGTGTGCGACGTCGACACTGGCCGTGGGGGTCAACCTGCCGTGTGCAAGGGTGATTCTGAGGTCCCCGCGGCTGGGCAAAGACCTGCTGGACGTGTCGCGATTCAGGCAGATGGCGGGGAGGGCGGGCCGGAGCGGCGAGAGGGGCAGGTACGTGACTGACGGGAGGGAGGGAGGCAGTGATGGGATGGGTATCTATGGGCATTTGGTCGTATGCTTCTGTGGTGTGTGGGTATGTGTGTGTTTTGTTTTCCAGAGGGGAGGCGATGATCATATCGGACAAGAAAGATGCCCAACACGCTCAGGTAAGGCAGGCTTGACTGAGCGCGGTTGCACCGGACCGGCTGCAGTACGACTGACTGTTCGGTTGTCCAGCGTCTGCTGACGGGTGAGGTGGAGCGGGCCGACAGCTGTCTGCACGGCATGAGACTCGCTAAGGCACTGCTCGAGGTCAGACAGAAACAACCAAACAAGTGTCCCTATTGCCCCTTGTTCTCTTACCCTTGTGTGTTCCCGTCAGATATTGCTGGTGCGTCAGGCGGCCACCAAGAAGGATCTCGTCGACTACCTCGCCGCACACTCGCTCAGAGCCAAACAGGTCCGCCAGACAGACAGACGCACACGCATCACTCGTTGACGATCTGCGGGTCTGTCTGTTTAAAACAGGCGAGCATCGCTGACATTGCCAAGGAGGTGGCGCCGGCGGTGGACTACCTGTTCCACATGGACCTCATCTGCGCCAATAAACCCAACCCCACCATACAACGACACCACACATACCCATCTCCATCACCATCGCCAGCCGCTGCTGCTGCTGCTGCAGCAGCTGCCATGCCGGCGCTCCCACCACCACCCACACACCCGTCAAGACCGCCTGCTGCTGCCTCGCCATTTGTCCGCCCGGCTGCTCGCCCTGCTGCTCGCCCCGTGATCCGTCCACCACCACCACCAGCAGCACTAACACGGCCGCCCATGGCCACACCGGGCTCGTCAGGGGGCGCGGGAGGCAGCGGCAGCGGTGGGCAGGTGGCGGCACCTCTTCCCGCTGGCACCGGGGCGCTGCAGCGGATGATGAACACCATCCGCCGTGAGGTGGGGAGGCTGCAGGACCTGCGGTCCCCGGTGATGCTCAGCCGTCTGTGCACCTACGGGCCCATGTACAGCAGCGGAGAACTGAACCTGGCCCCGGCCACAGAGTGCTGCCGCAAACGACTCACCGAGATGCTCGAGTGTGCGGCAAGGGACCGGCCGCCACCCCCCTCACGCAGCCCAGCGGCGCCCGCAGACACTGTGGCTGAGGGCGAGAGCCAGCAGTCCAGCGTGTCTGTGGGGTCTGTGTCGGGGAAGGTGGCCGTCAGGCCCGTCGGTGCGGGGCCGTCGGGTGGTGGTGGCGCGCAGGTGGGAGGCGATGGGGCGGTGCTGCTGCCTGGGCTGCCGAGAGTCAAGGATGACCATGTGCTCAGACTCACGCCACTCGGTGAGTGGGGGCGGCACTGCAGTGGGAGCAGATCGTGGTCATGTTGGTGCGTCCTGTGTGTGCGTGTGTGCAGGTGAGGCAGCGCTGCAGTCGCACTTTCACCTGGGCGAGGCGTGCGAGCAGTCTGCCGACATCATCAAAGTCTACCTGCAGGGTGGGGTGGGCCACACACGACCGACCCCCCGATTGTCTCGTCTATGTCTCTGCCTTGTTTTTTAAATGTAGGTCTGAACCTGCGCAGTGACTTCCAGCTGCTCTATCTGCTGACACCCCTGGAGCCGTCGATCGACATCGACTGGGGTGTGATGGGCAGGCTGTTCGAGCAGGAGGTGGACCCCGACGGCCCGCGGAAGACCATCAGCGACCACAAGCGGCTGGCAGAGTTCCTCGGCATCACCAAGGGCATGGTGCATCGGGAGGGCCAAAGACGGCCCGCCATACCCTCACCACACACACTGCACGAGGGCCTCCTCGCCGGCAAGTGGGTGCAGTCTGAGCGAGAGCAGATTTCATGTCAGTACGGATTTGTGTTTGTGTGTGTGTTTGTGTCTGTGTAGGAAGAGTATCACGTGTCTGAAGCGCGACCACCTGTTGATGAGCCTGAAGCGGTTCTATGCCGCTCTGGTCCTGGAGCAGCTGCTGCGAGAGAAAGGACAAGAAGACGTACGCAGCCGGTAGGTAGGCACACCAGTGGCTGACATGACCCAGAGAGGGCGGACACATGAGCTCTGCTCAGTCAGTGGTGCTGTGCATGTGTTGTGTGTCAGGTTTGGTCTGTCGGTGAGCCAGCTGCAGGCCTTCCAGAGCCAGGCCACCATCTTCCAGGGCCAAGTCGGATCGCTCACCGAAAACCTCGGCCTGTAAGCAAGCACCACAGACAGTCCGACAGACAACATGGGACAGTCAGTAGTCTTGATCCTTGGCTGCCTGCCTCTGTGTCTGTCTGTACGATTCTTGACTGACGTGTGTGCAGGTCTGGTCTCGCAGCGGCGATGCGTCAGTTGGGCGACCGTTTGTTGCGGACGCTCGAGGTGCCGCTGGAGCTACTGCCGCTGTGCCAGATAGAGGACGTCCAGGTAGGTACACGTGTGCACACACAGGCTTTCGAGCCGAACGACCTACCGATGCCTGTCTGCCTGCGTCTGTCTGGCTACATCACAATCACATCCTACAGGGCCGTCGGGCTCGTGCGTTGGCTGACAGCGGTCTCGACAGTGTGGAGAAGGTCGCACACGCTGACAACACACACATCTTCATGGTCAGCCAAACCATACATTAATGCATTGTAATGGACACACACACGCACACACAGCACTGTGTTCCATCTGACGGGTGCATGGCATGGCATGGCATGGCATGCAGGCCTTAGGGACGGTGGAGGGCAGCGAGGTGGCCCCCAACATGGAGATGATGGCGCAGCAGGCACGACTCAAACCCATCCAGCCCCCCGACGCACCACAAACCAACTCCCACACCCACCACCCCACAGCCCAGCTGCAGCTGCTGGAGGGTCGGACGGGCCGGGAGGAGGCCATCCGGCTGCACAACATACACATGGTCAGGCGAGATCGGCTGCGGATGGACACCGCACAACGCATCAAACGGAGCGCACTCGAACTCGTCGACCAGCGCACACAGGCAAGTAATGGATGGCTACACACCTACACACACATGCTGGTTTGCTCATTTATTTGTGTGCCTGCCACGGTGCGGTGCAGGAGCTGTTTGATCGCATGGACGGGGTGCCGACTGAGCAGGCGGAGCCGCCCCCCGCCAATCTCATCGACCTCGACCAAGACCTGCACCTCCTCGGCAGTGACGACGACCTCAGCGATGACGACACTGACAACGACTCACCCACAGCAGCACCCAACAATGCCCAACCGGCAGCAGCAGCAGCAGCAGCAGCGGCCGGACAAGAACCACCACATGCACCCCAAGCCGACACAGGCGAGCCTCAGGCCAAGCGCGCCAGGGTGGAAGGGCTGAGCGGTATCGGTGGTGAGGGCGGGCTGGTGCTGAGCCGCCGATGTGATGAATTCGATGCTCAGCCCCAGCAGTTGGTGCGGCGCAGGTATCGGCGACACCACGTGCCCCCTGCTGCCCAGAGGGAAGACCGGCGGCAGGAGAGGCTCAGGAGGGCCATTCATATCGACAGTAGGGCTGGGGGGGCCGGCAGGCAGTGGAGCCCACAGAACTGACTGATCGATGGCCGGCCGGGTGGTGTGTGTAGCGAGAGGGACAGTGGTTTTCGGTGGTGTGGTGTGGTGTAGAATGACTGACTTGCATGTGACTGTGTTCTTCTCAGCCCCGCACCATGTGCTGTGCATAGACGCATTGATTCGCGTGCGTGGGATACATGTGGAAGTCTCTCTCGACGGGCAGACACGTGTTCACATCTTCAATCCCCCAGTCTGACATCCGTGAGGCGTCCGTCCGTCCGTCCGTCAACGCGAATGCAGCCAGCCCACCGCGCCCACGCGTTCACCGACAAAATGTGTCCCTGTCTGTTTCGCTGCTCCCACCGGGAGTATGCCAAGGAGAGGTGCGATCGCCCGCCAGCATACGAGTGGAATGCTGGTCAGGTGATCATCCCACGCCCTGCACATGTGCCCGAGAAAACCAACGAAACACACTCAGATATCATATATTTCGTCACACCGCGAATGGACACTCGTCACAAGGAGAAACATAACAAACAGGCTAATGTCACTCTGGCTCGCTGTAGGCAGGCTACTGGTTCGCCGTGACCGCTGGGCCGTCCTCTTCCCCGACCACCCTCCGGCGTCACTTCACTCACAAGGCAGAAGCAAGGACCACTCAGAAGGACGACAAGCTGGCCAGCCAGCTATCAATCCTCACCATCGATCGATCACCTCTCTAGTGTCTTCCATAGTGGTAGTAGCCGCCTCCTGTCTGGCCGGCATGCTGCTGCTGCTGCTGCTGCTGTCGCCATGGGGCGAGGCCAGGGATGCCGGGCGGCGGCAAAAGGGGCGGCAGCCAAGCTTGCGCCCTCTCGTCACTTGGCGGAGGTGGAGGTGGTGGGGGTGGTGGGGGTGGGGGTGGGGGAGGCCGGTGCGGGTCGACGGTCCCGTCAGATGGCGGCGGGACGGCTGCAGGGAACCGTGGCGGGGCGGGGGGCGGGGCTGG